GTGCGGGTGACGCATGCGAGGGTGCGGTAGATGCACGACATGACGAGCGTGGTGAGATATGAGGTGAGACAGAAGAAGAAGAAGTGACCTGCGTCCCGGCGGAGATGGGCCATGAAGTAGATCAGTAAATTGAAGATGATCATGTTGACGGTTTTGTAGGGCAGATCGATGATGTAACTGGCGATGGCCTGGGCTGATTGATGGTAGAACGCATAGCGGTTATGTTTCTCAACAACAGGTCGTTCGGCGTAAACAGTGAGGACCTGGTCCGTTAGTAAACCTCCTCACGATGCAAAGACGACATACCTCAAGCTGACTCGCAAAAGCATTAAACAACAGCGCAAAAAAGATCAATCCACCACGATAGTAAAAACTCGAACTATCATCCTTCAAATCATAAAACATAGTCCCCAGCACAAGCGCCATGATGAGGTTGAATATCAACGACGCGATGGTAAACCCCGGATCAGCCAGCAGCCGCCTCCAGCCTCTCCAAAGGGTAAGTTTCACCTGCGCAGCGTACGAGATGGTATACGGGGACTTGGCGCGCTGGTTCTTGAACTGCTCGGCCCGACGCGAGGATTTGTATTCTTCGAGACGTAGTGAGGGCGGGTGGTTTGCTTCGTAGGCGGCGATTTCGTGGAGGAGGGCTTTGCGCTGGGGACTGGATTGCCAGCGCGATGCGAATTCTTGAGGGGTTCGGGGCGCGGAGGATTCGAAGCCTGGTCGGACACGGCGTTCTTGAGGGCTGGTCATTGAGGTGAGGAAGTCGGGTGTTGTTTGACGATCGGGGCCTGAATTGTTAGCGCAAGACGCGGATGGTGATGGAGGACGTACACTCGAAGCCGAGGTTCTCAAAGTACTGCTTTGCTTCGTTGATGCGACCAAAGAAGATCTGATGGCCCTCATACAAAACCGTCACGCGATCAAATAACTACCCTCGTTAGTATCCTTGTCTGAGCTTCATCAGGGCACTTACATCGTACGCAGACTGCGGCGCCTGATAAATCGCCACCGCAGCAGCAACACCCACAAGATCAGCCTGCAATCTCAAGTTCCTACAAAAATTAATCGCATTCCCACTGTCCAGTCCTCTTGTCGTATTATCCCAGCACTGCAACTTTGCGCCTGTGAGCGCAGCCTCAGCGATACTAACGCGCTTCCGCTCACCACCGCTTACACCGCGCACAAAGTCGCTACCAACACGAGTATCAACTGTGTGGCTGATGCCGAAGATGGCCATCATGACATCGCGCATCATGGTGTCGGCTTGAGAACGGGTTACGCCGCCGGGGACGTGCCGTGGTGAGTGCGCGGATGAGGCGAAGGAGAGGGTCTCGCCGACGGTGAGATGGGCGAGATGGCAGTCGATTTCGGCGTTGTAGAGGACGTCGCCGCGGAATGAACGACGGATGCTCTTTTCATCGATACCTAATCTTGTTAAGACCGTCCATGAAAGGATGGGAGCGACATACCTCGGAAGTTCATGTAGGAGTCAGGCCCAACTTCGAGACCAGCTGTCTCACCAGCAATAGTCTTCAAAAGCGTCGAACATCCTGATCCAGGAGGACCCAGAACAAGCAACAGCTCTCCCTCATCAACAACGCCCTCAAAGTCCCTCAAAATATCAACTCGTCTCTTCTTCGCGCCGCCAACCAAACCAGCAAGATACTTGACAACATCGATAGGATAATCAACAATAGTCTTCTGATGTTCAGCGCCAGTGCCCCAGCCGTAAACATTCAAGTCCTTAAACGCCACGCCCAAACTTCTTGACGGCGCAGCTCCAGCGTCAGACTCGACTAGTCTCACAAAAGCTTTTACCCAAGCTCTTGGATCAAAGCTTGGTGAGTTGGGGTCTAGCTTTGTGCCGGGCTGGGGTGAGAAGGCGTGGAGTTCTGTGCCGGCTGTTGTTGAGACGCGGGAGAGTTGGCGGGCGAGATTGCTGATGTTTTGGGTTATGTCGTGCTGAGGTTCTTCTGTTGGTGTAGCGGCTGTTGAGTCGGAGTGTTGGTCGTCGTGTTTGCTGTGAGAGGACATTGTCCTCGAGAGTAGTGCTGTCATTTTTGATGAATTTGTTTGAGTAAGATTGACTCAATCGAGACAGGGAGGTTCTATTTAAGCTAAAGGCATAGCATGCGGTTCAGTTATGCTTATGTATGTGCATCAATCAAGATCCAAGACCGGCAGATGAATACCGGAGAATTGAATCACACTCGGTCTTTTCCAGAACATAACGAACGGAGTCGGGAGAAGATCAAATCTTTTTCTACGAATATCACCCTCGTTTCCCCGGGTCCCCGCGGACAATCACCCCATGAAATGCAGTCGACCCGGCCCGACGGACACGGCGACTGTCATTGGTGAGCAAGTGGATTGGCTACCCACTGCGCAAGGGACCCGCGGGTGTCCGAGCAGGAGTTGACATCTCGCTTATGAGGAAGAGCCCTGATTCGGAATAGTTTCTCGGAGCGCGAGTTTTGCGCTTTGCGGCTCTGCCAAGAGTGAACTTGAGTCAATTGAATTCAATGTGAGTTATTCTGTGATGAACTCGATCTTTGAGTTTCATCTTGTCACGAGGCTATAGTGAATGTGTGCATCACGATGTAACGCGTGTATTATTCTGCATCGCTCTCGCTCTCGCTGTCCGTGAGACGCGACAGCGAGGCAAAGAGCGAGTACGAGCAGGTTTAATTGAGCCATCGAATCGCTAAATCGTTATGTATGTCAGATTTTCCTTCTTGCCAAGAGTCTGGATTGATAAGATGTAAGCCACGTTGCACATCATTGGGTGAATCTGGTTTGGCATGATGGGTCCATCATACGTTATTTCGCAGTCTGACTGTGTGCGCAATGCAGAGAATAATCGGGCTAATTATCTGCCATGATCGGAGGGATAGATCTGCCGTCTTGTGGAGTCGTGATCGGTCTTTGAGTTTATTTGTGGTCAGTGCGGGAGACGCGTTACCCTACACGTTTCGCGATGAAAAATAAATCGCGGAAAGGAACGGGAGAACGTATGCTGTGATATAGAAAATGAGTGAAATTGAGAATATTTATATTGCTATAGAACGAAGCCGCGCGAGTTTTATTCCACGATGCATCTGTAGTAATTAGATTGAGTCTCAATTTGATGAATGAAAAATCTTCCATTGCAGCAATACTTGATCAGAAATAACAAGTTTCATGCTCATCGGAATTACACAAAACACAGGGAATACTAGATGATCTTACTTAGATACTTCAAATTCTTTTATAAGCAAATTGATCGACCCTCTCCCAGCTGCTGGCTACTGCTCTTTCACTTGTTGCCAGCAACGAGGTTTAGTCTGGACTCTGTGTTACGTGTTAAGCTTGCTGGAGTTTGCTAACAGACTTGGCTGGCCAATCAGCTTATGACTTCATGGGCCGAGGTTAAGTCAGCCACATCAATAGATATAAAGCAAAATCTATAGTAATATATGAAATAAAGTTCATGCCTTTGCGTGCTTTATATATTTCCTATATTTAAAGTACGTTATGCTAGTTCTTATTAAAATGGGGTTTGAGACAGAATCTAGGCTGTATGATGTCGACGGCGGATAAATAATAGTCCGCTATCTTAAGATAAATCGTGCAAGACATTTACACTGTCTTGGTGTCTCTCCATAACAGTAAATGTAACCCTGGGCTTTTAATTTCCAGTACAACTCCAATGGAACATCGTGATACAATGTCAATGCAGCTAGTTCTGCAATGTCACGCAACCACGCTTTTGCATCACGATACGGCGCATCTTATCGAGATAAGCACAAGATCTCAGATCCACTCTCGAAGTAGCCGAACCGAGGTAGACCCACTTGATCCCGAGCTTAATCGACATTATTTGAAGTCATGAGCATCTCCTATTACCATCGCATTTCTGCCGACACTCACTTTACATCTACCCATCACGGAGTAACAAGATGGCACCAACACTAGCAGAGCAAGTGGCAGTAGACCAAGTCTCCCCCGGAGAATACGTCTCCCGCCTCAACCCCATCAGAATGGGCAACGCCATGCCCATAGCCTACGGCGGCTGCACAGCCAGCATCGCCGTCAACGCAGCGTGTCAGACAGCACCCGCCTCAATGTCTCTGTACTCTGTCCTCGGACACTTCCACGGCCCAGCATCAACAGATAAGAAACTGCACTGCAGCGTGACCAACATTCGAGACACGCGATCTTTCGCGACACGGAGGGTCCAGGTCAAGCAGCAGCAGCCCAATGGGAAATTCCGTGTCTGTATGGAAGTCCTCGCGGATTTTCATGTTATTGAGCCTTCGAGTTGGGATTTCTCTGAGCCGACGTGCTCCAAATGGCCGAGGGCGGAAGATTGCCCGAATTTGGACGAGTTGGTGAAGGACTTGCTAGAAAAGGGCAGCATCACTGAGAAGCAGGGCAAAGAATTTACTAAATCCTTCGCTGCCAACGCCGATTTTTTCGACACGCGCTACTGTACCGCAGGCGTATCATCTCAGAACCTCTCCGGCGCAGCACGAGACACCAAAACAACACAAGACCACCTCCCCATCACGGAAAAAGTATCCGCCGAGTGGCAGCGCGCCCTGCACGACCTCCCGACCCCAACCGCCAACATGAGCGCGCTAGCATTCCTCATGGACGGCGGTCTCTCATTTCTTCCCTTGAGCCATAATCACATGTGGTTTGACGATACAGCTGCGTGTTCGACGCTGGACTTTGCGTTGAGGATCTTTGTGCCGGAGGTTAAGATGGGGGAGTGGCATGTTAGAGAGAGAAAGACGAGCAGGGGAGGCGGGAATAGGACGTATTCAGAGGGGAAGCTGTGGGATAGCCATGGGAATTTGATCGCGAGTAATACGCAGCAGTCTATTATGAGGTTGAGGGAGGGCGTTGTTGTGCCTAAGCTGTAGAAATGGGTTGACTATATACAGGAAGATATTAATAGAGTAATATGTATTTTTTAAAGACCAAGTTCTCGTCCTGAGTATGTATTTTTGTTAATCGGTATCGTCGGTGATGAACGGATGCCGCCAATTAGACCGTCTGGCGGCATTATCCCTAATGTCAATCTCACGGTCCCGCGCTCCCTCTGCCGCGACTTGAGCATGGGTCATCCATGGCGCTTCGCTGTTCCCTGCGACATTCGCAGTCGTCGTATTTGCGGTATATCCAGGGGCTAGATAACCATACAGGTTCAACGGAGCAGAATTCTCGAACCCAGCGTGACCAATCATGGATGCCAATGGAGCTTGTTCGTTTGCTGTCGGGGGATCTCCGGGAGCCATTACGGCTTCCGGGGCCCGGGGACCGGAGTCATCTACCGGATGCTCTCGCGCCGGGGGCCCGCTTATGCATGGTGACTGTGAGTGATCATACATCTGATCGGTGGGTCTGAGATGTGCATTAGAAGAAGGGATACTGGGATTATCGACCGTAGGAGTGTTTGGTGTTATAGGATGAAGGACGCCATTGGCATCAAGAGCTGGGTGGAGGTTAGGAGTAGTCGGTGTATGATCAAGGCCATTCCACTGGTTAGTCGTCTCTGAGCCGACTGAGGTGGTAGTTGTTTGGGCAGCAGCAGCAGCATCGGAGGGCTGTGCCGGACCTTCTTGGTTCGTCGGCTCAGTCTTGACCCGTGGCTCCTCCTCGGCCCAGTCATCGTATTGAGGCATCATACCCGACCCTTCTTCAGTATCACTATCATCGTCTGGAATCTCAATCGCCAAACGCATGCATGATCCCAGCGGTGGCGGCTCGACTTCCGTACTCTGCTGCTCGTCCGAGATATTATCCGTCGCCAAGTCGTCATCTTGATGTTCTGCCATGTACACAATTAGCCACGCCTCTTAAGCTTTTTCACTTAACTTACCTGCTTCTCCCGAATCTTCCTCTCCATTCCTCAAGCGGTCTCGATCCTTCATCCGGAGGATGAACTCGTCAACCTTATCCTTATGGTCAATTCCCTCGTCGTTGGGATCATAAGCACGGAACTCGTTGACGGCAACCCACCCAATAGCGCAATCCCACGGAAAGACTGGTGCATCGATGTACATGACCGGATATTTTCTCCTATGATGATACTTGCCCCCCGGCCGGTAATGCTCGGTCCACTCAGCCGTCCCGGTAAGAGGGTCATAGTCATAGCACGTAGGGATATTCTTTTTCAAGAGCTCCGTGTTATCCATAAGATTCATGTCCCAGCCAAACTGCCGAAAACTACCCCACGGCAACACAAGAATAGCGAAGAATCGCTTCGTCTTCTTCCAAAAGGTAGTATACACCTCACCAGGCTGCGGATCGATCCCAGGAAGGAACTGTGTACTTCGTGTCTGAGGTCCTTCGTTCGAGTGCGCCGACCCCGCTGAGACGCTGCTGAGAGGTCTCCCATACTGCGCGTACATAGGTCTCTGTGCGGCGAGGTTGTTCAGCTTGGCCTTGTCTGCATCGCAGTTGAGAACTCTTGTCCCGAGAAGACGAACTGTCTCGTCATGCTTGACGTTGAGATTGCCGTGTGTCCCAGCGGTCAAGTGCCTGCGAGCTCCGTGGATGGGGTTATTGCTCATGAAGTGCAGCTTGTGCTTCTTACACTCGAGGATATACCAGAAGCCCTTGTGCTCTGTGATTATGTACTTCGTCGCGGCGTTGCCGTCTCGGTAGACGTCGTCGAAGTCGATCGCTCGGTCGCCGGTAAGAGGTCCTCGCGGTTGAGGCACATTCGATCGGGGACGCTTTTGAGGGCGGGGGAGGCTCCCTTGAGTGGGATTTGCAGGTCGCTTTTGTTTGGCTCTCGCGGATTGTTGGCTTTCGTTTGAGGGTCGGTCGATCATGTGTGTCTCTTGATTCAATGATGTTTCGGCAGTAGGAAGAATTGCATCGGACTCGCTCTGTGGTCTGGGATTCGGCAGGCGGAAGGATTGCATTACAGGGCTGGAATTTGGGGTACAATACGAAGTGTTTGTTGTCACTTCGCTTGATGAACCAGCAAGAGCATTTGACGCAGCAGGAATGTTCAAAGGTAACTGTGCACCTTGTCGCCACTTCTTGAACATTCTCTCACCCATTTCCGGGCCGATTATATCGAGGTACGCAAGACCAAGAGCCTCCTGCTGCTCCCAGTACAGCTGCTGGTACTTTATCTCTTCATCTTCCTTGTTTGCCTCGCGCTCTGCCTGTAATGCCTTAAGCTGATTGATACAGTATTGAACAGCGTCCAGTCTAGCTGTATTAAATTGTTCGGATGCTAAGGCCGACGCCTCATAAAAACGTGCTTGCGCCAACTTATACTTCTCTTGAAACGTCTCTTCAGGCGACTTTGTAGGATGCAGCAGAGGCGTCCATTGTTGGATGAGTCTCTGTATGGGAGCGACTCGCGATGAGTGTGGGCCTGGGGGGATATCCGTGGCTGGGGTCGACTGAAGCTGCTCCGCCATTATAGGGCGAACTAGCTAGTGCGTCTAGTGGTAGTATCGATATGTCGCGTGCTAATGGAAGTGATTTGAAGAACACCAATACGCTATACATCAACAATAGCGCTAGAAACCATTGATGCAAAAAGGACCTTTTCGACAGAGAGATACAGCAGAGAAAAATGAAATGAAGAGTCAAAAAGAAAAGAAAAAGGAGGCCCCTCGTGCACGTTTCTGCTTTTTTGTTTTTTCTATAATTGACAGCCTGATTCTGTGCACGTCCAATCAAAATATTGGTAGACCGGGATGTCTGCCGCTGGCCCTACAACCAACGACCAACCAGTTGTAAGCACGGTGAGCATCCTTGCAAATTCGTCAAGTTTTGTAACGGTGGCTTGCATAGTAATGGTTTAGGCTTGTTGTCTCTTGTCGAAACGGTTGCCTTGTTGTCTATGCTGACCGTTGCGGACCGTTAAGCGGTGAGATAGTGTGAGGCTGATTGCATAGGCTATGGGCCATGGCCAGCGCCACCTGAATAAAAATGATCTGATTGAAGATGGCATCAGCACTGCAACAAATATTGTTGCAAGAAAGAGAGGAAGCTACGAGAATACTCTTGCTTTTTGTCAATTTCACGGTGTTATTTTCATTGAGTCGCGGGCTGAATAGCTCACAGTGTCCTGACAGGACATCCGTCTAAGCATGCGAAAAAGCATTTCGCACTATGTGTTCTCATCGTTTGTGCACGAGTGGCAGCATAACATGAGGTCTAGAACAGGGATAGACACTGCAAAAAACCTGTTTTCTTGAGAAGATCTCCGCACAAAAGTGACAAGCAATTCATCATCAAGCTTGGCGACATGTTTTCTCTTGCCGCTGGGCGTAGACGGCAGCCAGTGTAAATCGGGGAAACGTTTGGCCGAGAGAGTGTCTGGACGCAATGCGTTTAGAGCTTGTAGGGTACAAGTTGACGGATATGAGTCAAGGCACGAGAGAAACGAACTTTGTGAGATTGTTTCTAGGTTCATTACTTTCCATACATCACTGAAGCTTAAGTAAAGCTGTTCTGATGTGATAGACCTAGTTATATTCTTTTGTGTCTCTTGCTGTTACGTGCACAGACCACAAACACAGGGCTGGGCTTACGGGCCAAGAGATCTGCAATGCCACTATTCCCACGAATGCAGTGAACAAAAGTCTGTATGCTGTGGAAAGGTATCTTGCATCGTTACTTAAAGAAGAATTAAAATGAAAATATCGTCATCTTTACACGCTTCGCCCATCGTCAGACTTATTCTGATAAGCCAGCTCCCTCAGGCTCTCTGAATCCTCTGTCCTTGAGTTCAGCATAGTCTTGAGTTTACTCCTCCTCCTTCCGCGCTCCTCATTAGCCTCCCAAGCTGGTTCGCTTATCCTTGTTCTCGAGCGCCAAAGCCCTCTCTCTTCCAACAACGCTTTGCACGCCGCCCAAGACGTGACAGTGTAAATTACTGCGTTCCAAAACCCTTGCAGCGGAAGAACCGTGGCGCTCATAAACTGTAAAGGCTTACTAACCTCTGAAGGGTGAATGTGCGAATACATCCTATTAGCGCTTGATGGAATCCACGTAATTAGAATAACCGCAAAAAACAGCATCGCGACTTTTGTATACGCCCATGCTGCACGGTATACATCGTTGCTAGGCCGGACCGCCGGGCGCTGGACAGGTTGGGGCATGGTGCTGGTGACACGAGCAATTGGTTGAGGTGGCTGGGGCTCAGCATGCTCACCAATAGCATGCACGGTGACTTGATGGCCCATGTTTTGTAAATGGATCGCGTCGGGCTGGGTCGCTGCTTCGGAGGTGATGGTGACTTCGGTGGTCTTCATGTTGTTGACGGTACTTTGGTGGGCGTATGATAAACCGCCCGAGCCGGAGCCTTGGGCCTTGAGGAGTTGTTGGCGTTTTCGGTAGATGGTGCCGCCGGAACGGATGTAGATTGCGAGGGTGATGGCGATGATGACCCTGTATTGTTAGTGCACTGTGATGAGTTGTGAGGGAGGTAGACGTACCAGATTGGACCGTAGAATGTTGCGATGCGGAGAGTATCCCACGATGAAGTGATCCAGCACCATTGAATAGCGCTACCATAAACTCTCACGCCATCACCATTCTTGATGAAAATAAAAATGAACGCCGGCAGGAATGGGATACCGTAGCAGAGTAGTAAATACGGTAACTCCATCTTCCTTAATCGCTGCGCATCGAAGCGATAATAAAACGCAAGGTAAACATTAATCGCCATCGCAAGGGTCCACAGTGCATCAGCCCCAACAAATCTGCACAAATCAGCCAAGCGTCATCATATTGTCTGCGCAACGTACGTGTGGAGTAAAAAGGCCTGTGTCTGGCATCCAGCCCCATCAGGCGCATCAATAAATGAATCCGCCATGATGAAGCAAATACTCGCCATGATATTCCCGAATGACGCGTAAAACACAAGCCGATTGATGGGTTTGTGGAAGGCATCGCAGAGACAGAAGGTTGTGATGATGAAGAGACATCCTACCAGCGATAGAACGGAGCATACTTGCTGGATGATGGTGATGAGCTTGACATCGCTGATTGACAGGCCGAGCTCCATTTTGCCAGCCCTTACAGAATAATTCTTGGATAAAAAGCAAAGAAATCCCTAAAAGGACATTTGTGTCTTATCCCGGGGGAACAGGCCATTGTCAATGCTTTAAATGCGAGAGCGATTACCTCCTTTCATGTGAATTTGCCGAAGGATTGATCTGCAACAGGGGAACCCCATATTGGATCGCCAAGGGGAACCCGGGACGTTGCAAATCATGGACCTAAAGTAGCATAAGGCTTAAATAGTCGCTATTGGTAACGGTTTTAATTGGCGCTGCGTCAAATTTGCTGGGTGGGGAGATGGAAGACGCCGGTAGATGGCTTCTGGACTTTAGGGCTGTCGTGTGAGGGATCGGCATTGGTGTTTCTGGAAGGAGGAGGTTTAACCGTCGCGATGGAGAGTGATATGAAGATCGGAGGGACGAGACTTGTGAAGCTTGTCCTTATCTGATCAGTTAATGCGACAGGCTAAGCGCTTTGATCACGAGCGAGAATCGGTGCTTGGAGTTCTTGCGAGCGTCATCGTGGTGATGTTTCATAACGCACAGGGGGTATTGCGCCCTCACATATCCCCCTCTTTATCGCGAAGCGGTCGACGTCGATAAGATACAATACCCGAACAGCTCTCCCGACTGCAATGCGAAAGAAGAATCTCTTCTCCCCCGTGAATGAGTTGTTTTGACTGACTCGTGCCTGAGACGCGGTCAGCCTGATTTTCGTTTTACCATGCAAGTGCAAAACAATAGCCTTTCCCCGATTTGGAAGGTCAGCAAGTGATGTTCACGCCATATACGCAATGCTGATGGATGGATTTAATTGTGCAATTCGCACAGACGCGTCGGCATTAAATAAGATTGTGTAATTTTCAGCGCTGACATGTTATGGGGGAACAGCCGAGGGCGCGGTGAGAATGCTCCGGCAGAGGATGGTCGCAATTTCTCGGGCTTTATTGCAGATGGTGGAAACGTAGCGATACGTGCCTTTCAATGGCTTAGGTTTTATTTGTTTGTAATGTAGCTGTGAAGCATGGTAGAAGTAGAATGAGGTGAGAGCGTGTATCTGAAGAGTTGCCCAAGGAGTAGTGACTATGTGGCGTAGGAGCAAGTGAGGCCCCTGTAAGATGCCACTGAGGCTTACCGCAAGAGCATGCGCTGTTGCCTGAGGAGCAGGGATCAGATGCGGGGAGTCTTAAAGAGTCATAGAAATAATTTTAATATACTATAATATTAGATGTCTTTAAATTAATGAAGTACAAGGCCATAATGCCTATTCATAAGTAAAGTCAGAAATAATTAATATCTTCCTAGACCCCTAAGCTAGGGTTGAAAACCAGGATTATGAGCACGTAGACGATTGCATTGTCATTTTCTCACGTGACATTCTATCGAATCACTGGATGCCATGTTCCTTGAGAGTCACGTTATCAGAAGTCGATATGAGGGGCACAGTCCTACTGTGAACTGCATATGCGATATATATCTCAAGCAGGTCTATTCAACATTCCCAGGAACTGCATTGTTGACTGTAGATATTTTTGTACGAGCATGGAAAAGATGATAGGGCGCTTCTCTAAATCTTTTGATCGGCACCATGATACAGCAGCAGTCAACGAAGGGTCAACCCCCCAGTCAGCAGTGGCAGCAAGCGCGTCACCCCGCCGTTCAAGTGACATGACCGACGAAGGCGATCTGTTCGGGCTTTATCAGCTATGGCCTCCGAAGAATGATACTTATGAAGTTCAGAACACAAAGGTTGAGTACGCGCTTTAACTCATAAGACCATGGAGGCTTTATCACTGTCCTGACTCTGCTATCTTAGTATAATAGCTGTGCATGGATTGAATGGAAAAGCGTTCAAAACATGGACCCAAGATGGCAAGCTGTGGCTTGCGGACTTTCTCCCGCTGGAAATTCCATACGCTCGCATTTTTACCTTTGGCTATGATTCGCGCGTTGCATTCACCGGATCAGCTTCACGCGTGGACGACCATGCTCGAAATTTGCTCGAAAGGCTCATGGCGAAGCGGCGACAATTCAGCGAAGAGCGACCCTTGCTGTTTATATGCCATAGCTTAGGCGGCATTGTCGTTAAGAGAGCGCTGGCTATTGCCCATGAGAGAAGTCGTCGGTATAACCCAATCACGAGAGACACATTTGGCATCATGTTTCTCGGCACGCCTCATCGCGGCTCCGACGTAGCATTCTGGGGTAGTCTGCTGGCGAAGCTGGCTGACGTCGTGACCTTGGGATCTATTCGCACTCAGGTTCTAGAAGACCTCAAACGGAAGTCAGACATGCTTGGTGCGATATGTTCGCAGTTCATCGAGCGCTCCGAGTCACTGCACCGCATCTTCTCTATCTACGAGCGCCAGCGAACCAAGGGTGCATCGGGCCTAGTTATTGAAGAA